TTTTTTTTTTTTTTTTTTTTTTTTTTTAGATTAAAGCATTCATATTTGTATTAGACAATCACGATTAAAAGATACTTGAAAGATGCTACAGAGCCAGGCAATGTTATATGAAAAAAGATGGAATGCGGAAACCCAGAAGAAATTACCTACAGGTAATTAACCAGTTGCAGTAGGATGAGATCAGATGGAATTAATTGAAGTTCAGGACATTTTTCATTTTTCCAAGGATCAGTAGCTCTCATTGGTGTTGAAAAATTCTTTGGCTACGCAAGTGTACCTTGCTCTTAGATAGTATTGCCCCTTTCATGGTAGAATTTCTGCTGTGCTGGGAAGGAGCTAGGTGCTCAGGTGGCCTTCATGCTGTGTGGTCCCACAGCTCTGAAAGGGAGTCACATACAGGGTCCATGCTGTGACAGTAGGCCTGAGAGGCAGAGCTATAACAGTAGCCAGCTTGGCCATCCACACCATGAGGACCAAAGGATGTGTTTAGTCACAGCAGGCTGGTATCCAGCCAAAGAGGGGGATGGGCAGAGTGCGATGCTGAAATTGTTACATCTCCTTTGGGAAGTGTGGTCCAAAGGGCAAGGTACAAACTTGGATTCAATTCTCAGGTGTCCTGCATGCTTCTTGTATGGCCTTGGGTAAATTACTGTAAATCCAGGCCATCAGATTTCAATTGAGAGGTGCATAAATACCTTTGAAAGGCTGCGTTCTAATCATATTGTGCCTCAATTCCCCATCTGCTGATTCCTGCTTTGAGCTGAACTGTGAATGGCTTAGGTACCAGGAGAACAGGAGAGGCAGGAGTACCACAGGTAACAAATGACAAGTTAAGCCATTTCCTGAAGACTTCTTGAGACTGAACTCTTGTGTGCAATCTCTGATAAGAAACGGACTAATTTTTGAGCCTTTTCTTTGCCACTGCTCAACTGCCTTTCTTTCACAAGATGTACATTTGAGACATATCCCACTAAGTAAATTTGATTAAAATTGGCCAACATTTCAAAATATATTGGGAGAGCTAAGTCAGACAGGCAGTACATGAATGCCTAAGTCTTGTTCTTTCAGATAAAAGAAAAATCAACTTGCTGTTTTCACCA